CACAGGGTGTGGGATATCAGTGTTTGACCCTGAGTTTTCATCTTAATGGTTTCCACAGAGCCGGCCAACCCAGGCAAACACACTAACAAAGGAACTCAATTCTGGAGCTTATCAATAATTCAGCGGACGAATACAAAAATACATCCAAAAAGGTGTCACCAAGCTACTCCCGACACCTAGGACAAAAATAGGAAACTGGCAGCGTGCCCTGAAATCAAAATGACCTCATAAATCAGAGTTTACATCAGAACAGCAGAGTGCACAGCTGAAACAAAAGCTGCTCGTTTTTCACCGTGCACACACTCTGTTGCCAGATTATTAGTCCTCTTAAAATAATGAAGTCTCATATAACAACTATAAATAATCAGTGATGCTAGACCATGTCATTAATTATTAGAAACCCCTCTTATTATTACATCTCAGACTCATCGGAAAATACAGCCAGCACCAAGCAGTTTCAGCAAAAACTGATAACTGTGACTTGAGGAAGGTTCTGGGCTGTTATTAGACTTCCATTACAATGACATACGAATGAATAGTTTAAATTAGAGTTTATTAATTTTTCAAGCTTCTAATTTATCATGTTAATTTTTTTTTAAAACGTAGAGTTGAATTTGTAATGTTTCGCCCTCTGAATGAAGTGGAAAAGAAGCACAAATCAGGTTTGCGCTTCTGTACAGTCCTTCATACGACTGCTGAGTGTGTGATATTGAGTTGGAAACTGAGTGTATAAAATCACCTTAAAGTTGTTCAAAGGTGGCCCCGGGAGGAACCAGAATATCTCTAAGGCTTAAAGGCTGTCAGCTGTACTTTCTGTCTCTCTCTCCAAACATTTCCCTTTAGATCTTTGTCTGTTTTCTTGTCTACAGCACGCTTCGTGCATCAACTGTCTGGATGTCAGTCAATGTCATGTCTCTCAAAATTTCCTAACCTGACAATCACGCATATAGACACGCTGAAGAACTGCGCAAAAGCACACTCTGTATGCAGAGTGCTGACTGTTAACCTTTAAAAGCCTGAGGTGTCATTAGAGTAAAAATGTGATGCTCTGTCTCTGCATATAGGTGACAAAACCAAGTGAGGAGTGTTCATGGAGAGAGAAATAATAATAATAATAATAACAATGTGGCCTGTTGCTGAGCTGAAGGGTGACAGGTCTCAGCTGTTTCCAGCCCTGCTTTCATGTTTGAAGCCTCTTATCCATTAGATTTCTTTACAGGCTGAGAACAAAGTGAGTGACAGGGTGACATCAGTGACCCAAAGAACCAGTTTGACTAAAGCAGCAGGATGACACTGAACAGATCGCAAAGAGCTCCAGCCAACTATTTATGAGCTGCTCACTGAATCCTGCAAATCTGTCAGAAGCAGAAAGGGAACGGTCTTTTGTATGGTGGTAAATTAAAGTAGGCACTCAGGGTACTAGCTCTGAGTATCATAAAGCACTTATATAGAGTGTGCTATCACTGAAAACGCAGTGATTCAATATAAATTCTTAAAACTAAGACTGCAGCATATATGTTGTTGCAGTAATGTTGAAACACAAGAACAACAACAGCAGCAGCAGGAATCCTGTCGTGTACTGTTCCCACTGTCTACAGCAGAAACAGCTGGGTTCAGTAACCCACCATTCAGCGAAACTAGCAGCAGCCAGGGGGGTAAAAAACACACACACACCTTCATGTCTGCTTTTAACATCCATTCATTTTCGCTACTGATCAAGTTACACAGTAAGCTTTTGGACGTTTCCACAAACAAGAAAGAAAAAACAACAACCCACCTTTTACAAGCCTCCCGAATTTCCTTTTCATCTACAGGAGAATCAACCATTACTATCGCGTCCGTGCTTTCTCCTATTATTGAGCAAGCATCCATCCTCCTCCCGATCCGCCTTTTTCTTTCTGATTATTTAAAAAAAAATTATAAATCCTTTCTAATATCAGATCGGGTTAACTAAACAGTTAATTTTCTATCTGCCAGGACTGAGTCCACGAGGATCAAATGCTTGTTTCTGGGGCTTCTACTACAGAGCAGCACTAGGGCTGTTTGGGTTAATCTGCCCCGAGCTGCGCTCTGATTGGCGGAGCCCCGGTGATGCTGAGGAGGCTGTATGGTCGCTGTCCAACTGGCCGCGGTGCTGGAGCACCGACCGAGTGAAGGGTGGTGAGCCTCGGTGGCTGATTAAGCGGCTCAGACAGGAGCTACAGCTGCTCATTATGAAGGTGCACAGGCAGAGATGCTGCACTCAATTAAAACAATAGCTAACTGCTGCTGATCACAGCAAAGCTGAGCATAGATCACCGCCGGGTGAAATACTCTCCTCCTTAACGATTTAAAAGGAAGGGACTAAGACAATCAGTACATTATTCATTAATTTTAAATAATGACGTGCTTTAGTTAGAGGAAAACACTTAAATGCATGTTTTTACTAGAAATGTAAGTGGAAATTGCACCAGTCAGTTAGAATGTATAAAAAAGATTTAAGCCCTGTCCCTTCATTGTCTTTGCTGCATTACAGTAATCAAGGATGCTTTCATAAATTATGTATGAAGAGGTTTGCAACCAGCGGTTACATTAATACCATTTGGGAGAGTGATGATTCATAGATCAGTAATTAGCCGTTAATAACAGCACCTTTCATTCTTGCCAGATTTTGCGAAATCTCTTTTAGTGGTTTGATACCAATGCTAACTTGATGTATCAAATTGCTCCAAATAATGAATTATTAAAACATCCAGATGTTTATGCCTCATCGGAATGAAAGAAAAGCGTTGTGGCATAACGTATGCAATCATTATCACTGAAATTAAAAATAAATAAATACATGTGAATAATATTCCTAAAGATTAGGCTTAGCTCCTACTTTTAGGTTCGGTTTAAATAAACCTGTGACTCTGTCTGTCCTTTAAATTATCTTCATATCAGTCTCGTGGAGTCTTTCAAATACCTGGAAGGTATTTTGCTTGATACCTGACTCTCTTTTAAGATTCAGTTTCAGCATCTGGCCCAAAAGTTAAAAATGAAATTAGGATTTTTGTTCAGAATAGCAGGAAAATGTCTGTCTTCCTTTGTCTTTGACAATAACAATTCAACACTATGATACTGCTCTAAAGACGTTTACCAGTTGAACCCTATTTACTTCCTTAAAGTTAAGAAGAAACATCCATCTAGAGCTCCTCTTTCACAACTCTCAATTAAGTGTTATAACAACAATTCAAGACAATAGCTCAATTTATAGGTCTGGTTTTTGACCTGGTGTTCTTTTAAATATCTGTGTTGTTGCCTGTAAAGGACTCACTGGCTTTGCTCTATCATCATTACACACTGTTAGCAGAATAACCCGCACCAGGTCATCCTGATTAGTGTGCTGTAAAATCCTGAAGACTTTTGCAAATGAAGACTTCCTAAATAAGAATAATCATAGCTGAGTAAGTAGGAAGTGCAGCTATATACGTTGTGTAGAATGTAAAAATCAGTATTTGGTGTGGATTTTACATACTCAGCTGTGGAGCTGTTATTGATTAGAGAGAAGAGAAGAGAAGAGAAGAGAAGAGAAGAGAAGAGAAGAGAAGAGAAGAGAAGAGAAGAGAAGAGAAGAGAACTAGCCAAAGCCCAGCAGACTAAAAAGAAAGGAGTGACTGTGACACAGCAGACCTGTGTGAAAGTGTGCTAATGAGGCGGCCGCTGGTCTGGATCTGGTTATAAATATGAATCATGGCAGTGGGTGCTTGTCTGTGAGAGGCCACCACTGAGAGGGGAGAAGGGAATAATTTATTGAAAGAAAGCCAAAGATCAAGAAAAGGAGGCTGTGAGAAAGTTTTGTAGGAGAGATGAAAAGTCTCGTTTTACGGCTTTAAATCTGAAAGCGTGGCCCAATTTATGTCTGTTATAAGTGATTCATGATGGTCAGCACTGATTCATACTAGGTTAAACAAACTGTGAAAGTCATAGATGAGGGGGTGCGGCTGTTTAAATCTGATCTGACTTAAGATCTGTCTTTAAAAACTTAGTGTTCAGGTTTGTGTTTGTGAATCGCTGGCCTCACATTGAACAAAAGCCCGCCGGCGTGGAGTTTTCTGATCCACCTGTGTGGCAGCTGACATTGCTAATGCCTTGTTGACTTCAGGCACTGATTAACTTACAGTTTAACTGCTCAGCATGCCACAAAAACACACACACACACACTTTCTTTCTCTCTCTCTCTCTCACACACACACACACAATGGGGTGGGGTGGGGGGAAAGCCACACAAATACCCACATAATGCAGAGCCTGACAGACTTGTACTGGATACCAGACACACATGTATAATGAGAGGGTTTGGCTTGAGGCTGGTACTGAGGTGACAGCCATGGTAATTTCCTGTGGCAGATTTCTGCCAGTGAACGGGGACGGGAAGGGAAACGCTTCATTAAAGCTTCAGTGCTGTTTCGAGATCTGTTGCCCAAACACATTCGGCTCAAAACAGAGATGCAAGCAGAAATATGGCTTAAAATATGGCGTGGAAACAAAGAGCGAAGAAGAAAATAGTGCGTGTCTGTTTATTTTCATCGTCGAGTTGATAGAAACACGTTGTTGTTTCTGTGAGTAGGAACACAAAGGTGTTTTGCTGCCACCTATTGGGCAGATTGTGTAAGTGGTTGAATTGTTTTTACCATTATAATGAAAATAAATCAATCAATAAATAAGCCTATAGTACCCTACGCGTTGCCTGTTTATTTGAGGTATATGCTTTAGTGCCATTCCATACATAAAATCTACGCGTTTCAATACTCTATACTCTCAACTTGTTTTCTTTTCTTGTGTCTTTTAAGTAAATATTTTCATTACTTTTCATGACTTTCTTCAGATTAACTCCATGACTGCTGCTGTAAAATCAGCCACACTGTGTGACAACGCGAGGTCGAGCTCTCCTGCAAAGCTGTCCGGCGGGTGTAAAGTTACTAGCCGGCAGGACACACCTCTAGAGGGAGTTCCCGGGGAGGTGGAAACAAGGAGCCGATCGTTCCTTCCTGCAGAAAGTCAGGAGCCCTTTCACTTGAGAGGGCGATTACCTCCGCCGGCGGCTGTGCGTCTTGGCAGCTGTAGCCGTGCCATCAGAGTGAAAATGCCCGGGATGGGCAACTCTTTACGCGCGGCTGCCCTCCTGGCTTTCGTGGTTCTTTCAGTTCTGGTGACGCTCCTGATCAGCAGCGTGCAGCAGTTTGGAGCAAGAATCTCGCACTTTTCCACCGCACCTTCTGGTGATGACGAGGAGTTAGCCTCGCTCCGCGAGGCGCTGATTCACCAGCTCAACGAGAGGCGAAAAGAAATTATTCCGCTGCTTTCACCTGGTGTTGGTGATGATGATGATGAAAACGGACTGTTAGGAGAAAGTTTTTCCCAGCGTGACTCGACTTTGGATTACAGTCTGTGGAATGAGATCACAGTTGGCTCCGGGAAAGCGCATCTTGATGAAATGGGTTGTGATTCCCTAGCCGACATGCAGGCGGTGGAGATCCTCGGATCGGGATACACCAAGCTGGTTGTCAAAGTGAATCTAGCCGGGGAATCTGAGCCTGTGGCGCTGAAACTCGTCAACGAGCAGGGCATAGACATGGGGAAGTGCGTGGAGGACTTTAAAGATCCTCGGGGATGTCGCGAACTCGTTTCATTCAAGCTGAGGAAAGAAATGGTCCTTCTCCAAAGACTCCAGCATCCGAACGTCATTAAGGTAAAGTTTCCTCTCCCTCTGCTTTGAGGGTTTGTTTTTTAATCAGTTTAAATTGTTAAGTTGCGAGTTCAAATGCTAAAACAGCGTTTAGTCTGCGTCTTTCTCGGTGTTTATTTAAGGGCCATGAAGTTTCAGAGGCTACTGTTGACTTCTGAGCGTTCCAGCTGGGGAAACTGGATAAAGTGAAGATTTTCCATAATCCTCGTACTACAGCTCACATTTTCCTTTGTTTCACACACACTGAGCTACGTGAAAGGTTGCTGCAGGGCCTTCCCATCTAATTAAATTAAATTCGGTGACCCTCCTCTGACCTTTGGGTCCAGTTTAGCGAGAGCAGACAATGTGACTCTGTCCTCCTCTACTATCCATGGTTGCATCTGAAACCCCCTGGCGCTTATTCACTCAAACCATTACAGCCCAATTTAGAAGAAGTTTGAGCTAAACCCAGGGGTTTCTTTCTCGTGTCCTGCAGCCGTGTGACAGCCCAGTTGATTCATTTCAGAGATGTGCTGGATTCTCTTGGCTATAATGTAATTTTTCAAATTTTTATCACAAGTCATAACTGCTAGAGCGAGCTTGATGACACATTGTATGAAATCTTTGCTCAAAACCTTAAAGAGACTTTAACCTGTTGCTTTCTCTGAATTAAAATGTAAAAAACAAACAGTAGCATGATCTACCCTGCTTTTCTTTATTGTACTGTGGCTTAACCTAGTTATTTTCCACTCTGCAGCTGAAGGGTCACTGTGCTGGGGGCCCAGGAGGAAGAGAAGGCGAGGCCGAAAGAGTCACAGTCATTCTGGAGCAGGGGAACCCTCTCCAGATGATCCAGCTGCTCCAGAGCTCCTGGGAGGACAGATTCAGAGTAAGCACCACGGCGTGTTTTGTCATTTATCTCATACACTGCAGACGCACTGGGAAGTTAGAGGTATCTGTTTCACACTTACTGTGCACAGAGCATGTGCAGGCCATTGTTCAAGTCTGCAGAAAAGGTGAAGGTTGAAAAATGACAGAGGCCGATGTTGGAAACTCCTGGAGGTCGGGCATCTGTCCCTCGGTACATTTGATCAGGCCGAGGTTTTGAGTCGTGATGGGCCCTGGAGTTAATCCACTTATGGCTGGGAATGTCATTTCATCCCAGACACACACTCTTAGATGCACACATACAGCTTTAGCGCAACCCCCCTCCGATCACAGGTATGCTCCACAGTAGAAGCCAACAAAGGCTGAATTTACACTCCAGGGATTCAGATATGCTCGCCTTCGCGCATGGATGTGTTTGAAAAGGAGAGTGGTTGGAAAGGGGGGGAATGCCTGAGCATGCATGTTTTGTTTTTGGACTGGCAAAAAGTACTTTGGCATTCTGCACGTATCATCTCAACAGTGGGCAACTTTTTGCTGCATCACCAAAATAGCAGTTCATAATAACCCTCCCCTTGAGCTGCTTGGCCACTTTCAGCTACATCGCATCTGTGCAAGCTTCAGTAATCCAGGGGTGTTTGGTTTCAGCCAGCCCCGTTTTTGCCATGCCCCCGATTCCACCAAGCGACGTCCAAGAGACTCGGAGCATTACCTAACACTGCAGCTATGTTTGTAGTGTGACAGAAGCATTTCATGCACTTTTAGCACATGGCTAATGCTTTAATTTTGCTTTTGGTAGCCTTACTTATTCCCTCTCTCTCTGTTTTTATTATAGGATTTAAAGAGTACTATAAAAACAGTGTCAGGAAATGGTTTGCAAATGTGGTTGGTGAGCCGTCTTTAAAGGGAAGGCTTTTGCATGGCTTCCAGTTTTAACCATTTTTAGCCATTTAATTAAACCTAATTAAATTGTCCAATGTTCTGAGTTTTTAGAGGATAAAACAAGTCAGTTTTTAACTTGAAAACAAGTCAAATAATAATATTTTTAACAGGTTTTTGTTGGCCAAATGACATTTTTCACTAACAAGATAATTACTTATGATTATGATTTTTTTTTTTTTATATATATTATAAATTATGGTTGAAAAAATAAAATGAGAGAGAGAATGGAAATAAATTTAAAGTCATTGTTAAAAATACTTTTAGGTTCTGCAAAAAAAAAAATCTAGTATTTTTCTTTTATTGTACAAAATGTAGTATTTTTGGATTTTGTTGGTATGACACAACAATCACTCTGAACACTGCAGCCTGGTTTTTCATCAGTTTCAGACCAAACCATGTGCAACACGCCTAAAAATGATATATGAAAATCAAGAAAAAGCTTTGACGCCTGTAATTATATTTGTATTTGATACATTTTTAAAAAACATTTCTTGACATTTGATCACAAATATTAACATTAAAGAAAAAATAAGCATATTCTCACGTCAGACAGCTGAGTCTTGATGAATGACTTCAACGGTTATCTGGTTATAAACCGTAACTGGCTTCAGTGACAATGCATTTAGCGCTTCAAGGCCAACGTGAAATATTCCTGAGCAATATTTCACCACTGTCACGAGTCCAGCTGATCAGACTTTGTTGTTTCTAATCTCCAGGTGTGTCTGGACCTGGTCCGGCTCCTCCACTTCCTCTCTCAGTCGCCTCTGGGCTCCGTGGCCCTGTTGGACTTCCAGCCTCGGCAGTTTGTCACAGTGTCCGGCTCGCTGAAGCTCACGGACCTGGATGATGCCAGCGCGGAGGAGACCACCTGTCACACAGACGCAGACTGCACTCTCCAGTTTCCACACAGAAACTTCACTCTGCCCTGCTCAGCTCGGGGTGTGTGTGAGGGGCTAAACGAGAAGAGGAACATTTACAACGCCTACAGGTAAAAAAAAAAGTGACAGTTTTACTGCGTGATAGATAGGAGGAGCATCGGCTACACGGATAACTGCATAAATATAGAACAAGCTGACACCTAAAGTGTTGGCAGTGGAGACGTGCAGCTGGAAATTTGCAGTTTGATGGGGAAAGTGTAATGAATGCATTGTTAGTTTCAGTGGGGGGAAAAAAGAGCAATTTCCTTTTAAAAATGGTTCCGATTTTTTTGACAGCTTTACGATCTTTACGTGTGAGACGGAGCGAGACGGCTATGCGATAGGGCTTGCCCAACTTTCTCTCTCTCTGAATGAGTGTCTTTGCCCGACCTTAGGTATTTTTTCACCTACCTGCTGCCTCACCAGGCCCCGCCCAGCCTCACACACCTGGTAGACCGCATCATGAACGCCACAGGTGAGGATGAGAGTCGTCCCGACATGACGGGGGACGCTCGCTACTAAAGATCAGAAGGCAAATCTTTCCATTACGGCAGTCGTGTAATGACATGCCTCTGCCTAAGTGCTTCTTTTAATGAGCAAGACAAGATGCTTCATGACATGTAACGCAGTAATGAATACAAGTAGTTATTTGTTGAGATCACACAACTGGGAGTAGACAGCATAGTGTAAAAAAAAAAAAAGCATCCATAATGCCTGACTTTATGCCTGTAGTCACTTAAATCTTTAACCAGATTGAATTCATTGTGCGTGCGTGTGTGTCCAGGGGAGCTGAAAGCTGACATCAATCAGACGCTGGAGGCCTTTGAACACATCCTCCACCTCTATAAGTCTGGCCTACACCTGGAGAACCTGCCTCCATCAATAATCAGAGGTAAGTGCTCGTGGAATGAAGGCTGCTTTATATAAAAGCACACTGGGCTCTCTTGTGGACCTGTTTCCCTTTTTTTTGTGAGCATGAAGAGAATGCTTGGCTTTTTTTAATCTACTTGTAGAGAAAAGCAGACAGTCTACACCTGTGTTTTCATTTTCTACTTAAGAAGGGAAAAAACTGAAAAAGAAGGGGCTGTTTTGACAGGTTTATTAGGCAGCTGGAATGAGGGGACGAGACCAACAAAGTGAGATTAATCTCGTATGTCTTTTGTTTAGAGAGTGCAGTTGGCGTTCATTTAAAAAGAAGTGTTTTTTTACTTCATTACATTTAAAATTCCTCGCTTTTTGCTGTGCAGAACGGCCACGTAAACAGTTTTTCAAAATCTTTGTCCTACTTGTTTCTGTGTTCGCCCAGCCTAAGCGCTGAACGTCCTTCACTTTTCTTCTCTCCAACTCGCTTCCACCACGCCCCCCCTCCTGCCCCGCTCCTCTCAGCCGTATGAAATATTAATAACAGAATGACTGGCTGCGTTCCTGTGGTGAGATTTTCCGTCCCCCCAGATGCTGGACTGTTTATATAGCAGCACTTTGTGAATTTAATCACAGATTCAGGGTAAAGAGGCCCTGGTGCCGAGGCTGACACCGGGAGGGAATGTTTCAGCTTAACAAGGAGGTGCCAGGAGACAACTGCTGCTGCTGCTGCTGAGTGTGTGTGATAAGACTGTGGGGGGGAAGAATGCGTGTGTTTATTAATTCAGCATATTAGCTGAAGCAGAGGTATTTGTGGGTGGAGGAAAAGCCTGTGCTCAGCACCAGCTTGGCTTATCCGTTTCACATATTGGGGGAAATAAAGCTCGTGGCTCAATCATGTTGAGAATTCAACTCCATCCAGTAAATTACCAGCATCTGGTTAGCCTAATTTCCTATATTGGGGAAATGGCCAGCTTTATCGAAGCTTAAAAAAATCTCCTTGTTTAAAGTCGGTCCTGATTGCTTGCACACTTCAGATTTTACACAGATTTAACAAAAAGGGAGATAAGTAGTAAGCATATGAAGGGCTGGTGGGCATATTTTTCCACATTTCCCTTATTCCAGATGCTAAGCTAAGGTGGTTAGCTGCATGCTCACTGCACTAACATGAAAAAGGTATTAAACTTCTCGTCCAGTTCTCACCAAATTAGTCATTTTTACAAACTGGAAACAAAGCTGCATTTTTGTCGCACACATGTAACATGCCGCACTCTCCTCACATTATATACCAAGCACGCCCTCCCCGGTTTGAGGCAGGGGCAGTAGTTAAGCTGCAAAATTTCCACCATCACCCTCTCACATATGTCAGTGCCCCTAATGCTTCAACCCTGCTCCACCTCCCCAGCACACTCACCTGCACACTCCAACGGGCGATATTTACTCATCGCTAACCAATTTTATATGGAACACGTTTTAGCTCAGAGCACAGAAACCAAACTCTGTTCGGCTGCTGTAATAAATCATTTCCAATGTGACTTATCTGACAGAACTGTCTTTTTAAATGATTAAACAGCCTGAGGGGGGAAAAAACTGAGTAATTGTGGGATTGTATATTAAAAGCCACATGAATTAAAATGTTTTCCCTCAAAGGAAATTTAAAAAAAGAGAGAGAAAACATAACTGCAGCCAAAGTCCCAACTTATCTTTATAAAAGAAGCCAAATGGCAACAGAGCTAAAGCTTGTGTAATAGTGTGTGTGTGCGTGAGAGAGAGAGAGAGAGAGAGAGAGGGAGGGGGACTCATCAGGTCCAGAGTCTTAATTTGAAATTGTTGACAGATGCAGATTCATAGGTAATGTGGATGTAAGCTGTCCGCAGCTGAGATCATCTCTGATGTGATGGAGGGAAACCTGATGAAGATTTACTGTAGTTTCCTAAAAACTGCTGCAACTATAAATCCAGCTGTGTACAGAACTGTAGAGACCGCATAGGCCGGGCCGTAAATTCACCGTTAAATGATATTCTATATATTAAAAGAAAACGAGGTCCTTTCTCCCATTCTTCATCTTAAACACTGAGACGTGTATGTCTTTGTCTCTTTAACAGCTGAGGTCTGCCACCCCAACAGGCCTCATTTTTTTTCTCCCCAGAGAAGGATCCTCCAAACACTCCTTCTCCTTGTTCCCTTTTCTCAGAGCCAGAAGGCAGATCCTCGTGTCTTTTTCCTCGTAACAATACTCCCCCACACACACCGCCTCCTGCCATTTAGGAAGGTTAACAGTTTGTAACAGTGAGCCTCCTCCGTACGGGCTCACAGACGAGGCTTTTGTCCATTTCTTGTGTGTGTGTAAGTGTGTGTGTGTGCAGGCATATGTGAGCATGGGTTCCTCTCATGGCTCCTGCTAATGTGTAGCAGATGATTTAAGGCCAGATCCACAAGACGTCTGACAGGAAGAATTATAATGATGAATGTACGGCAAATGTTTGGAAAGTGGTGTGTGTATGTGTGTGTGTGTGTGTGTGTGTGTGTGTGTGTGTGTGTGTGTGTGCGCGCGCGCGCGCGAGCAAAAAATCTCTGGTGTCAAATGAAACGTTTGACACATAATTAGAGACGATGACAGACGCAGAAGGTCCTGCTTTGGCATTTCGAACAAAAACATTGCTGAAAACAATTTGTCGCCTAATAAGTTAGTTGAGTAAAATAAGAAATCATTTTTCAAGCAAAAAGCATTTTGTGATTCCTGCTTGGCAGCTCTGTTCTTTGATCCCATGTTTAAAAAAATAAATAAAAAGAAATTAAGACATTGGCTTGTATTTTCTAAAAGTATTTCCTAGTATTTTACCGACTAAATTATTGTTTTCATTTAAGAAAAATATTGCAAATTAATTAATAATTTAAAGTAATACTTTACCGCTGGCTAGTTTATTATAAATAATACATAATAATGTATGTCAGCACTTTGAGGTAATTCCAGACCATCGGCACATTTTATATCCTGTTCTGCCAGCAGTAGATTTACATTTTCACACTAACATTTTTGTGTCCTTTTTATCATAAGAATATCTGTTCTTTAAATATCTCCCAACCAAAACCAGAGTCTGCGTTTCTATGAGACGTAGTCTTACATTTAGGGATCCCTTATTTTATTTTCATTAGCATTCTTTTCTTTCAGTGCTCCAGCGTGTTTGTTTTCCCTCCAGGGATTACTAAACTTCCGTGTTTATGCCTGGAGAGCATTTCAGAATCTTTCAGCAGCCTCGCGTACTGAAGTGGCGTCTCTTCTTCTGTGGTTAGATTACACTGTGATGCGAGGGATGGGCACTTCTGGGAACGTGGAGTACCGCTGCTGGCCATCCTACAGCCAGCAGGGCTGCGTGCTGTCAGTCCACAGTGCCCGAGAGGCAGCGTACACCTGTAACTCCCACTCTCAGTGCAACAGCTTCACTCTGACGGGGCAGAAGACTTGGACAGGTTAGTAAAGCCTCCTCTACTGGTTCTACTGGTACATAGTTCCCCATCTCCCATTATCAAGTAGACATGGAAAAGCACTAGTTGTATGACTTTCCACAAAACCACACCTGCCACATGACTAGAAGTGCTAAGCATACAATTGCTGCTCCTTTTAATCTTCCAGTGAAGCTTTTTTAAAGTTTAAATACACAGTTTAGATTTTCGAGTCAGGACTTGTCACTTTCTTGATGTTGCCAGTTTGTTTAACGTGGATCTGCTTTTCTGTCTCTCTCTTTGTTTTCTACTCTGTAGGCCGCCTCCTAGCCTCTTTCAGGAGTGGCTTCAGTCACTTGGTGCCTGATGGGACGTCAGAAGTTTATGTAAAGAAGACAAAAGTTGTCGAAAAATCAAGCGCCTGACGTCCGAGCGAGTTTCTGTCAAAATGGGAGTTACCAAGAGATGGCACACAGCGGGGCGATGGGAACTGATGCAAGACGTGGCACTCGAGAACCGCGTCCTCCTGTTTAACAAGTCAAACGCAGCATGGCTCTGTGGATCTGCAGGAGCAGCGTGGAGACCAGGCTGACGAGGAGGCGTTTGAAGCCAGCAACTGAATGTGATGTATTTATGGGGCTTCTTGCTCTGTGACTGTTTGATCTGCCTGCCAGCTCACTCCCCTCTGCCAGCTACTATTTAAAGGGATTTCCCTTCAGGTACAATTAAGCAGGGAGAGCCTCATGCCCTTGACATTTTTTTTTTCTTTTTACCTTTCCTTTATTTGCCGTGTGCGTCAGCTTTCACTGTGAGGTCGGGTCCCTGTTGCTAGATTTTTTTAATTTATTTTTTTTAAACCAAAGAGGTAAGAAGTATAGTCGCTGAGCGTTTGGAGCCCGAGGATGAGAAAGGAAAACAAGCTCTTATACAAATACACTTTGATGTTAATGCGCAGAGGTTGTGGCTGTATTTTCGTGATTCCCTGGCTTAGCTGCACCGCCGCATGAGACGGCAACAACCATGTAAGCGTTTACACATCAACAATGAGCAAAGATGATCAAAACCATTCCAGAGCAGTCTTTTTTGTTTGCTTTAGATACTTTTGTGCACTTAGTTATAGTGTTTCATTCCTAAATATTTATATGATTAAATGGACTGTAATTGTTCTTACATGTTTGTGCATTACAGCTTTCATGCACCTTGTGGGTGATACTTTTATTTTCAATGAAAAATTATTCATTTGTTGTTGTTTTTTGTTTTTTTAATACTTCCCGTGTTGTTACTGTGCAGTTTTTTTTAGTTTGTACAGATATATAAATATAATGTTTCTACTGTTTTTTTAAGTTGTGTTCATTTGCATTTTTATTGTATTCAGTGTAACTGCAACTAACAGCCTGTTTACTTCTCATTAACACCTTCGTGTGTGTTTCAGTGGGGGGAGGGGGGCCTAGAATGTGTGTGCTGACCTGGTTTTCTGTGTGTTTTTTAAGCCCTTTATCTTCTCGCATGCCCCCACATCCACTATCTGCAGCCCATCTGAATGGCTCAGAGGAAAGGAGCTCCACAGAGTTTGCATAATACCAGAAGAATGCATTCTAATGCCCCACCACGCTGAGCTCATTATGAGCCTTAATTAATACATGTAAATTGGCTTACGTGCCAGCCCTTTCTCATGGTGAGAGAGGGTGCATTACTGTAAGACAAAGGCAGACATCAGGACAATCAGAGCTCAGTTTGTGGTTAGCACACGAATGGGCTGCCATCTGTGCCTGCCAGAAGTAACCTGGCGAGGTTGAGATAAGGGCAGGTCTGCAGGGTGGAGGGATTTGTAAAGTCAGATTCAGAAACTACTGAGTTTATGCTAGGAGAGGGTTAAACAAATACCTGGTGTGATACGAACAGGAGATCTCTGCCACATGCCATCAACGGCTCTTCATCTATTATCTTCTGAGGTAAAACGCGAATGTTGATGCACACACACAGTTTAAGAAGCGATAAAAATCTGTTTAATTTCTCAAGAAGGCACGCCTACGTCATGCCGGAAAACGCCACTCAAACAAAAATGGAAGCAGCAAATTCCAGATAGCTCTGCGGTGAGTCTTTACCGTTCAGCCATACCAGTGCCACTGACTTGAAAGGGCATGTCCCTGTCTACAAATAATTGTCTTTGCCTTAGGTTGGCCCCTTGTTGTCTGGACAAAGCCGGCTGATTAGAGTCCAGATGATAAAGATAAGGAGTCTGACTCAGATTAGATAAGGCAAAACCAAAAGCCACGCTAACTAGAAGGACTGGTTTCCTGGTGGGAAAATTTTCCCAACACATAACATGACTTATAGTCAGAGAAGAGCAGAAGAAAAATGATCACAGTTTGATTTGTGTGCTCTTTTGTAAAAAAAATTATTTATTCACACAAAAAAAAACATGGGAAATTTACACATAATCAAATAATTTAAAGCCAGCATTTTGGGCATAAATATATAGGGTAAAAATTAAACACAACAGCTTAGCTTAGCCTGGCAAATATGTCACAGTACAGAAAAGCTATATGCTATATGACACATAGCTTCCCTATACTACACAAGTCCTTTTCATACCATTTTAAAACACGTCTTCCCCATTATTAATATTTACAGGCTATCCAAGTTTGTGTCCATTTTGTTCTTTGATGAGGTAAATTCTAACACCAATTACAAACTAGCATGCATTATACCAATCAAGCTAGCTAGTGCTAGCTATCAGCTAGATCCATACATAGTCACTTTGGGTGGTGTTGTATGGTTTCAAACACTATTTAAGAAGGTAGTTTGTTACTCCTTGTCATGAAATGGTGTGACGGGACATTCCCTTCTAGAAAAAAAGAGCCATTTATACATCTGAGTATACATTTAATAGCAGTAGGGTAGCTTTTTCTAAGGTTTGTGCTAAGCTAACTGGCCTAGCGTTGAAGTGGCAGTTTCCTAGTCTTCATTCCAACATGCCTGTGGTATTCTCATTAATCGATTGGTGTCCTATAAATACACACACATGCAGGTCGGGACACACAAATCACATCTCAGGAATTTGGAGAGGCACCAACAACGAATTGCTGACTCTGTAAGCTCATCGCAGGATTTATCCTGAGATGAGGTCTTTACCTCGATAATGCAGTGAAACAATCCCTCAAGTGATAAGCTGTAATTTAGTGCAATGTACAGCTGTGGTTCATCCTTCTCCACATCAGCTCAAAGAGGAAAACTTCTGGCGTCACATTGGGTTTGTCTTGGCAGTCTTTTTGACAGAACTAATGGATGTTTTGGCCTCGCGCAAAGGTTGCACATGTTGTTTTATGCTTAAATGTTTTGAAAGACATTAAAAATGCAGAATGTTGATAGATTAATTAGGTTATTCAGTTGGATGCAGCGAAGGAACAACAATGAGTCTTTCTTTATGCTCAGGATTTGCTGGAGAGCCTAGGGGGTGGGGGGTTAGTGAACCCTCGAGTAGATCTTCACAGCATGTTCAGTGAGTCTAAAAATAATCGCTTTTCCCCTTAACTCTGTTTTTGGCTGAAACCAAGGACAGAGTTTTGAAGATTGAGGGGTTTTTTCCCCATAAGTTGTTTTTGTTTACGGATGTTTTCACTGTAGTGAAACATTTCAAACACAGCGTTACCGTCCATGTGTTCCTGTGTGGCACACTGTTCCTCTGTTTTTTAAGGCGTGTAATTGACAAGTTGGTCTTTTTGAAAGGCTCGGGGAATGAGCGGGGGAGGAGAATGATTGTTTTTTTTACCCAGCTCCATACCCCTCCATTTTTGTTTTTTCAAGTTTCCAGTTTCACCGACTTGTTTCCGTCAGGTTTTATTCATGACCTCCATCTGGAAATAATATAACTTCATGAAAACACGCCATCAGCAATTTTTTTCGAGAACACTAGTGCGTGCATGTGCGTGCATATGTGCAGGGAAGGCGACATTAGGGCTTCTTCTGCTGGATTCAGGCTCTACTGATGCGACGGTGTTAGTTCAGTGAAAAACACGTCTGTGACTAAGCTAAGAACCAAAGCCTCCATCATCCCCACTTAAAATCCTAGCGCGATGCATTTGTGGTCTGGCCAAAAGTCTTTGATTCAAATGCAAAGTTAGTCATCAAATGTCAGAAACCACAGCTGCTGGGAGAAATTACGTGTCAGGAAAGGTCTCTGGTGAAATGTTTGACCTTGGCTCAGACTAAAAATATGCATTAACTGAGTGAAAGCCTGCATAGTTCTGCAGGAAAGAAGATCTGGCTTGTGTTTGAGTTGCTCGCCGGCGCATATGCTTGCCCGTGACTGGAAAGATAGAGTGGATATTCACTCGACTCCGGGCTCACAGAAACGCCTCTGTGTCTGTCTGCCATTTTGGCTGTGGTACACACAAGACTGGCCGGTCACACCTGAGAGCCTCTGAAGAGCAGCCAGACATTTAGTCGGCCTGTCCCGAGCACAGAGGCGTCTTAGTTTGCAGGCATATCTAACTGTCGAGCTAACTATTTGTCTGTCTGCCTGGAGCCGATATGATCTCTTTTAGAGCCATAATGGCTTTAGCAGGCCCTAAAGGAGAGAGAGCAAGTAGGTGTGTGTGAGGAGAGGTTTTCATTTCTGCCTGTCTGCATTGGAAGGGGGTGTGTGGCTGGATCATGTTTTAAAAGCCCCGAAGTTAACCCCAGTCAAAAGGTTTATGCCTACCACTAAAGCCACAGAGACATCTTGAAAGCTCTAATAGCTTCGTGTTGTATCCAGTGACATCTCCACAAACCTGCTGCACAGCTTTCTGGAGCGTAGCAGAAGTGCTGGATTTGTTTGTTTCACGATGGGTAGCTGACTTTAATCAGCGTCTGTCCATATTTATTTAAGGTCTCCGAATGTTTGCATCAGTGTGGTGCTATCACAAAACCCTGCTTCATTATGAGAACCCCACATGTTTCCCTGCCCTGCATTCCCTCCTGCTATATCACAGCAGCAGTCTGGGTCATTTTTCTTTTGAACTCCCCCACACCCACACCCTCCTCTCTTCCTCACCAGTCCATCCATCATACAGAGTCTGTGGAGCCTCCTTCCACTCCACCCGTCCCCCTTTTCTGTTGCTGCCTCTGCTTTCTCTCTTTCTCTCTGTGTTTGAAACGCTCCTTCGGGCCACAACCTCCACAGCTTTGCTATTAATTTAGGCCTCCGCCGCTGTTGTTAAATTGTTCCACTTCATAGCCAACATAACTCCAACCCTGCATCAGTGTCCTCCTCCTGCCAGTCTTCCACGGCAACCGTCTTCTACCAAGTCGCAGCCCACAACTGCTGCGAAGCATCTGGAGTTTCTGCCGTCTTTCAGCCTGGCTGGAACCTGAGGGCAGGGCTGCTCAGGATCAGGAACTGTGGTTTGTGTATATGTGTGTGTGTTTCTGACTACCACTGCTGTTCAAATCAAAGTGTCTGCCTTTTGTTACTTGCTCTGGAATCCCCTCCGTCACACCTCGGCTGCCCCCAGGCAGAGGAAGACTTCCTTCTCCTCAGTTAATCTTCCACCACAAATACACTGTGGACCCCCTCTGAGTCACAGGATTATAGACAAATTCAATTAATTAGCACATTCAGGACTTTTAATTTGTGTTTTGTTTTTCTTGTAAACAAGGTTAGCCACTGACATGTCTCCATCTGAGATGCGAGGAATAGGGTTTAAAAGATGAAGATAAAATATTAAAAGTAGCACTCTTTCTATCTAACTGTTGTGGGATTAATTTTTATGTGTTTTTGTTGCATAAATAAACATATATATAAGTGATGTCTTTCATTTAGCTTTGTATGTGTCTTGGATTCTTTAGGATGTGTCACAATGGTTCGGAGACAAAACCGGAAAGTAATTAAAAAGCGTCTTTACAGAAATACGCTATGAAATGAATCAATTATAAATTAAAATTATGATGGGAAATAGAAGTGATTGTTCTCTGTGTTCAGCGCCGTGGAGAACAGGTTTTGTTTCCGAGTGCAGGTCGTTAAGAGAGCTGTGAATCCACAAGTCCCCAATTAGGGTTCTGCCCACACGGCCATAAAACAGTTAGTGGAATCATTTGGAGGCTGTTAGATTTAACACTATTAAGAGTTCATTAGTACCTGCACTCACAGCTACTGTAGCTATTGAAGCATCATTAACAGAGACACATTAAAGTAGGCTAGAGGGCCTTTTCGCTCAGGCCACCTTTTATCGACACCTGCGATAGTTCAAAAATGCCATTTATTGTGAGATACGGTCGCAGTTTATTTTACTCTAACGTGCTGTTTTTAAACATACACTTACAGTGTGGTGTATTATAACACACATACTAAAGTGTTAAATATCAGAAGTCACAATTAATAAGCAGTTCAGCAAGTAAAAAATGTAATTGTTTAATTTTTTAAGTCTTAAATGAACATCAGCAAACAGTGAATCTTAGAACATGTGGTGTGTGAATGATGCACGAAAAATCATCTGCACACAAAACATAAAAAAATAGGGAGCTTTTCCATTTATGATGTAAAACAGTATTAATATTAAAGTGTTAGAGAATATTATATATTTCTATTATTATAAATTTGGCAATAAAAGATTATGATCACGTCTGGTGAAGGAAAAAGAGTATCAAATACAGCTTACAGACAAAAAATCTGCAGTACAGTTACTGAAGATGGATTTACCTAAAAGTTCACATCTAATTCATTATTTTTAAAATAATTCACATGGTTCAGAGTACCTACTGCTATCAGCATT